GGGAGTACCTGATCACCATTTCAGAGAGCATTGTCCGTTGTTCAGCACTGAAGGACAGGACAGACATCGCTCTTGGTATCATGAATTAGCACTTCCATACACTCCAGCCAAGTAGGTATCATTTTCCCAAATGTGAGGCAGTATTCTTCCTGCCAAGCAGACATGGCTCTTCTGTCTCCCTACAGGATCTGTAGGGCTAATCGGTGACGCCCATGTGGAGATCTCAGGGATCAGCATCTCTGACTACGCTGTCTTGAATACAGGGAGGACTCAGAACATTGTCAATGCATACACATAACACCATGTGCCAGCACCTTGACCAGAGCTTTGTGAGTGAGTGAGTGAGTGAGTGAGTGAGTGAGTGAGTGAGTGGATGAGTTTCCAGGACTGAACAACTTCTGCTGTATTGGATCTTCTGAGACAGTCTCTCTGCCTCTCTGTCTCTCTCTTTCCCTCCCTCACTCCCTCCCTCCATGTGTGTGTGTTCTCTGTAAGTTACGTTACTCTAGGGAACCCTGTCCAATGCTCCCTAATTTAATTTACTGAACGCATAAAGAACCCAGAGCCCCAGGGGTCCATAGGTCACCTGCTGCAAGAGTGGGGCTGTTCAGGGCTTCCAGGCCAGTGTGGAGGCTTTTTGTTTTGTTTTTTTATCTTGCCCTGTGTGAAGTATGTTTCAGTGCTTCTTCCTACTAAAGAGCTATGAGAAGCTCCGTGACTCGGTTGCCTGTGTGCTCCCATGGGCTCCTTGGGAAGAGCAAACACTACAATTCCAAGGTCAGCCCTGCACGAGCCGAGCCCTCATTGCAGAAGATGGAGCGAGCGGTAGACAATGTGAGTGCAGCCACCCTGGACCCTCACCAGGCACAGAGCTCTCCTGAACGGCTATCCACCACTTAAGAGGGGGGGGGCAGTAATAGAGGAAATTAGCAAATAAGTGCGGGAATTGTGGCCAACAGAATGCCATTACAGAAAGGCGGTGTCTTGGAGGAAAACAGGGGGGTGCGGTTTGTAAATATACACGTACATCCCCACTGAAGATCTCACTCCATGACATCCACAGCTCCTGCTTAAAAGCAGAATGATCTGCCTGTCCCAGCAAAGCACAAAGCCAGGGAACTGGGAACTCCTGGGATCCGTGCTATGTGCGAACAAATCCAATCCCTCTTACTGTTGGCTCCACAGTCCGGTCATAACAGAATTTAGTAATACAGTTAATATATCCATGAACTAAACGTCCCATTCTAAGTACTTTATCACATTATAGTGGTAGCATTAATAGGATTACAAGTAAAACAAAACAAACATTCGTAATTGTATGACATCAACAAATCCAATTGCATCTAGTTGCCATTAGTCTATTGAAAAATATGCAATTTTTCCTTAGCTTAAAGCACAATACATTTAAGAAGTACTTGGCATTTCAAATAAATACAAAGGGTTCCGTAACTCTTAACCCTACCATTTCGATCCTGAGGATGTTTAGACTATTTATCGATAAAACATCTTTCTCAGAATCACAGCAACATTAAATACCATTAAGCCAACATTAATTCTTTGACCTGGTTCCTAGACCATGTAAGTAAATAGCTTGTAATATACACATATTATATATAAAGCATACATATATTATCGTAATGTATATTACAAGCTATTAAATGTATAAAATGTAAATTTTACAATGCAGATGTGGCTAACTTATTTGGCCTCTGTCAATTTCGTCAATTAATATTTTCCACTGAGCAGCCTTAAGCAACCGCTCTTTTTCCAGGGCTCACGCTCCTATGTGAAGGTTTGTTTATTTGGTGGCTAAGTTTTTACCAATGAGGACCACAGAGAACGTCTTTGTGTGGGATGGGAGAGGCAAACTACTCTGCTCTTTTGCCAGGCTAAGGCATCCCTTCATTGTGAGGCCCTGAAGGGCATTCATGGAGTTGAAGGGCTGCTTCTTGATGCCTTGGAGCCTGCCTCAGGTTCTCCTTTGCAAGCTGAGGTGGGCACCAGGTGCAACCAAAGATCATTATGTATCTGCTGAGGGACACTCGACTGCTGGTGTACAGCTTCTGAAAGTTTCTGAGAGGCAGATGTTGCTTCTAAGTTGGCCTAGTGTGAAGAGGAGTATTCAAGCAAGGGCTGTGGTTAGAGGCCTCATGCTTTGGCAGGAAGCACCCACCCACCACACTGAGCCATCTTCACAGCTGCTTTGGCCATCATTTGTCCAGGCCAATTGGTCCTTTCACTGCGTAGTTGGAGGCTGCCCAGGCTGTCGTCCTGGTGTGTTCTTACTTTGCTTCGCATGTTTGGGTCTATAATCGACCTGGAACATGCCTTCGGGCAATGGCATGAAGTAGGCATATTCCTTCCACATGTTGCTACAGCTGATCCCACGCCAGCTATTTAAAAGTTTCCCACTTTTGCCACAATCGTCTGTGTCCGTCCCAAGCTCTGCTGTATTTGCAGTCCTCTTAGTTAGAGGGAAATGCAGAATTTTGTTACCTGGCACTTGTTCATAGACTTGGGTATTCTGCGTTCTGTGTTAGTGGACATCGGTTTTAGACAACACAGTTCTTTTAATGAGTTTACTACTCATTTAGCATCACTACACTTTTAACACTCTGCTAAACACTTATGCACTTACGATTCCTTTGGCGGTAAATGTTCAGGACAGATCTTTGACCCCCGGCACCAAAGCAGACAGGAAGCACCCTTCCGTGATCAGGCCTGTCCTTCGTGACCAGGAAAATCCCAACTCTCGCCACCGGATGAATTTCTCTTCTGGTTATTTCACTCCCCAACTCAACTCATTGTGGTGAAACATCACTATTCTACCATCTCCCCAGAAGGTTTAGGGAGATCTTTAAAGCTCTACATAGTGCACGCACTTGCATGGTGCCTGGCACCCAATAAGCTCTTGATCATTAAAACAGAAAGTTACTATTATTTCATGGTCTCCCCAGCCAACCTTGTCGGTGAGAAATCACCTGTTTCTTCTTACTCCTGAGGGTGCTTCTCATGATTAGCCCCACAGAGACGCTGCTTAGCTGACATCTGGGCCTGACCACTGCTGCCCGACCAACCCACCGAGGGTCTGCTCATTTGCAGCTGGGACGCTGACCAGCCTAGTCTTGGCTCTGCTTCAGCCATGGTGGACACACGAGGCCCACTATTCGGGGCTCTAGTGTTCCATTATTCTAAGCAGTTCATTTCCTAGACACCCTACTGCTTGCCCTTTGGGCCTAACCCTACTGATACCCTGCTGGGTAGTGCCCACTGAGTACACCCTTCTGCCTGTGGCTTCTGCAGCTCACAGCTGGCCAACAGCAATCTAAGTCATGGGAAAGAAACCCAAGAAGGCTCTCCAGGCTGAAGACCAAGCGATGTTATCCAATACCAGAGTGCACTACTGTCTCCAGACCAGCTTGATGGAGGCACAGTTCCCTTGCGAGCGTCAGGGAAATATCTCACACAGGCTTTTCCATTTTAAGTACTCAGTTTCTCGAGCACTTGGAATTACTAGGGTTATAAGCAGACGCCATTAAAGATAAGAGACAACCATCAGGCTGCTTACATAAAACCTTTCCCAAAAGGTGGTCAGATCTCTGACCAGATTTCAAGCCAGACAATATTTTGCGTCTGAGCACACTTTAAATACCTGTTATCTCCCACTAGGGATGGATATGCTTTTCCGGTGTGTAACTCAAAAGTGTTTTCACTGCCAACTGAATAACTAAGAGTTTGCACCTGTTACTTTTCTTAAATTCAACTTAATGAGCCCTGCTTCGTGGCGCTCTCTGTATCTGAGATGCCCTACCACAATCAATCCTCTTGCTTTGCAAACAAAGGGCTTTCTTCCTGACAAAACTGTGTGATTATGAAATGCCTTTTTTGGTGTATATGAAAACTCGGTTTCGATACCCATAATAATCACACGGTGCCTCAGCACGTTTGTTGCTATAATAAAATACCCAAGACTGGGTAATATCTAAAAAGAGCAATTATCTCAGAGGTTCTAGTCAGCATGGAGAGAGGGTCCCACACCATATCCTGACATCAAAGATGGGCACCACAGGTAAGGCCAAGCGAGTGTGCCACAGAGAGTCGCTTACTTTGGCTAAAAAGAGGCAGAAAGAGGAAAAATGTATTATAATATTCCTATGAACGTATTCAAGTGTAATATAGCCATATGTAATAGCAAAAATATTTCATATCCAATGTAGGTAGCAAAGCAAAACACCCAGGGGCTTCTGATCTAAAGAGTTAAGTATAGGTCTATCTGAACATGCTGATCCCTTCCCAACCCAGTGAGACCAGGTTTCCGTCTCTCTGTCCCAGGCAGTAACCACAGCAAAGGCTGGAATATGTCTAGACTCACAAGAATGACGAATGAAGAGAGACCTCCCATGTCACACACACATTCTCACCTAACACTTGGCTGACACCCAGGCAATGCATCGCCCCGTGCCATGGTGTGACAAGCTGACCATTTCCCCAGCAAAGCTCTGACCAGCCGCTAATGGCAGACAGCAGAGCTGAAGACGAGGCAAGCAGACGAGTGGACCCTAACTGAGGCAGAGTGGCGTGTTAGTTTCTACTGTTGACTTTTCATCTTGGGATAATTACATGTTTTTTTTTTTTAAGTTGCAAAGGTATGGCAAAGATTCCCTATTTGCCCATCACGAGGATCCTCTTTATGCTGCCTCATGGAATTTGCAGGAAGCGAGTACTGGTGAGACTGTGGTCTAATCTCCAGCCCCTCCACCCCCACAGCTGTTCCGTAGCCTTGAGACTCGCTGTGTCCTGCTGTAGTGCACACATTCACACAGGCCGCATGACCATGTGTTTCGGGAGATCCCTTGTCTTTTAACCAAGTATTTTGTCTGTTTTTGTCTTACAAGAATCTTCTCTGGAGCAGTGCTCTATTAAAAGTTTAATCTTCCAAACACTAACTTTACTCACAAGGCACAGTTTCCAATGGAAAATAAGGCGGCACCAGACAGACCGCCATGGATATGCTTTATTTTAACTTTCAATAAAACAAAGTTGTAAAAAATAAACAGCTTACTAGTAACAGGACTTTGCCACTTACTGCTAAACTCAGTATTTCGTCCCAAACCAATGGTTTATTTTTGCTACACTGAGGTAAAGGACCAGGCTGACAATGAAGTATTCTTCTGTCTCCTCGATCCATACCAGCTCCACGTGCACGCCTCCTTCTGAGTCCATGTAGTCCACATAGTAAGTGTGCCCCAGGAAATGAGGGCCGTCAGAGGGGTGGGCTGCAGACCTCAGGTACACTGGCGAACTCACACACCAAAACGGCTTCCTGTACTCTTCCAGAAGCGTCAGGTCCATGAAAGAGCAACTCTGCAATTGAGATTGGCAAGTGTTGGGATCACAGGCTCACGTCCACAGGGACTGTGACTGTAAACCTGACTGGAAAGGGTGCCTGTGGCATCCAAGTCCAGAGTCCTGTCATGCATATGGCTGGACCTGCTTTTCACCCGAAGCCCAGTTGGTTAGGACTTACCAGACTTCCTCAGCCCTCATGCTCGCCCCTGTGTGTGCACGGGGACAGTACCATGGCCTGACTAGAGCGACAGGCCTTCCACTAATGAGAGGTCAGTGGCATCGTTCACCTGAGGGTGGCTCCCTGCCCTGGACAACAGCTCTCAATGCTCTAGCACACTGTTGCCTTCCATTCTCGTCACCTGTCCTCGAGCGGCCTCACGTTCCTTCTCTTTGCTGCCCACCATCCTCTTGTTCACATGGCAACTGCACTGGGCTCTCCATCCCCATGTCTCCGCCTCATTCTCTCCTGCAAGCCTCACCATCTCCTGAGCAGCCCCAACTGCTCGTGGACCCAGTGGCACACTCAGTCCTGGGCTATCCGGTCCCTGCAATCTACTCTTGAACTCTACTCATCCATCCCCACAGTTTACCTCCTGTGAGGGCGGCACTTCCAGAATCAGCAGCGTGGGCCCTGCTTCTAACTTGTCTCTTCGCCTTCCTACTTACTCAGTTACCCCTAACTCCCAGCCCACAAGAATTTTGTCACTGTAAGCCATAGTTACTACTGCATCCTGAACTACGTGTTGTGGGGTACAACTATGTGTTAAAAGAAGAAATTATGCACAGCACTAGCTTAGTAAATTCTGCTTCGATGACAGGAGTGTGTGTGGTCACATATGTGACCCTCTGGGTAAATGCTGATAATGTATATCACCCGAATCTGGTTATGTTAAAGGAACAAAGCAATGCTTTGTTACGTTGATTGATACAGGCCTCTGATGGCCTGGGCTTCACAGTTCCTACAAGGAAGCACTGGTCTCGAGAGCTCAGGAGCACAGGGAGCTAACACTCACTGGCTTGCTCATGATGCGGTGGGGAGCATCCCAAGCCAGGCCAGGAGCTCTGCGGTAGAAATTCAACTCGCAGGTCACAGACCAGCTCTCCTTTTTACGTGATAGAAACATGTTACAGATGCTTGCAGTGGCTGAATGTCAGTCATGTGACCCACACAGGACAGTGCTCCAGGGTAACTGTACTTCTCATGCAGTGGTGTGGACAGCCAGGTCTGTGTCCAGCCTTACTGTGTGTTCAGTATAATTCACTATGACATATTCCCTAACCTGTCATGGATTTCGTTTGTCAATCCTTCTCTTGCGTCTTCTTTTGGTTTTTCCTTCATGCCTTGTCATTTTATACATTAGAAGGTTACATCTACAATTCCCAGGTATAAGAGATTATCTTCCATTTCTATGTTTATAGTCATATGTGACTGAGAACTAGCTCATTTTTCATGCAGAGCCTTACTCTGTGGCCCAGACTAGCCCTGTATTGGTTGCTACCCTCCTGCTTTAGTTTCTCCCATGTGTGCGATAAAGACATGGACAAGAACATCCAGCTGAAACCTTTTTCTACTTTATATCCTTCCTTTAAACAAAACAAAACAAAGACATTAAATCCCCAACAGCCAATTTCTTAAATTGCATTACCACTGTTCACTATGCTCAGGGTGGTCAGATTCCTAGAGGGAAATCCTGAGCTATATGGCAAACACATGGAACACAATATCCCTCACTTGGGTATTTTCTTCAGGAGCTACAAGAATAAATTTGCCGTGACACATAATATGGCTCTATACATAATGCCATATGCAGGCCCACCCAACCTCAAACTCAGGAGAGACAACAAACTCTTCCCTGTGAGAAAAGGTATTATTGGAGAAACTGTCCAAGGCCACTACCCGCTATTTCAAAGACTCAGAATCACGCCTTTAGATGAAGCGACCTACCTACAGAAACAACGCCCTGAGCTGGCTGGAGGCCCAGGTTCTGCAGCTGGTAGTGCAGCCTCTGTGAGAGATGCTGTGGAAGTCCCCAGCATACTTGTCGCTAAAGGACTCAGGGTTAGGGTTGAGTCCTCCTTACAAGCAGTTACAGGAGAGACTTTGTTTTCAATACTAGAGCTAAGGTAAAACTTTTTCTCATGGTATAATTTCTATGCTTCCATCTCTAACCACAGAGAACTAAACACCTGCTTTGATCTTGCTGTGAAGAGAAAATAGAATTAAATAACTTTAAAATTACCCTGACTCTTTAAGGTTGACACATTTATATATATTTATAGTCTGTCCTCAAGGTCTATTTTTAACATTAGCATTTTTAAATGTGTTTTTACATCATGGCCATTTCAGTCTATCACAGAAAAACAAAAGGTCACATCTATACTCGAAGATAAGTAGCATATGCCACTTTGACCAAGAGTTAGGGTTTGCTCACAGACGGTCTGAAGGTCAGGCCCTGGTCTTGGGTCACTGTCACTACAGTTCTGCCCAATGTCCACACCAAAAAGCAAACGGAACACAATACAGAGGCCGCGTGCAGTAACAACCAACTTGTGACTTCCAGGGTCCACTCATGCCACTCAGTACAGAGAAGCAGGGGTCACCATGCGTACAACTTGTGACTTCCAGGGTCCACTCATGCCACTCAGTACAGAGAAGCAGGGGTCACCATGCGTACAAAGTCACACGAGAGAATGGAGCCATGGGAACTCTCTCCTAATTTCCTCCACCCTCCCTTCCTGACAATCCCCAACACTAAACCGATCCCCCCCCCCAATTTGGCTACTTCTACTTAGCTTCTCAAGATCCTGGAAACTGGAACAGGAACTCATAACTACACAGCCTTCAGACAGGAGAAAATGTTTCCAGCAAATGCTATTGCCTGGCCAACCTTCAGCTGCCCGCCTCTCCACTGGACAGACTGACTGAATGTGTGCAGGCACACTCAGAGCTATCCAAACATAGCTACAGTCTACCTACCCATTCTTCTCCAATACACTCCATAGACAGCAAAGTAACTCGTGGTGCTTACAATGAGAACGGCTCCCAAGGCTCATGTCTGAATGCTTGGTCCCCAGCGGAGCAGAACTGCTTGGGAAGGGTTAGGAGGCGTGGCCTTGTTGGAGGAGGCGTGAACTGGGGTGAGCTTTGAGGTTTCAGAAGCCTACATCAGACCTAGTCTGTCTCTCTGTCTCTCTCTGTCTCTGTCTCTCTCTCTCTCTCTCTCTCTCCCTGTGGATCAGGATATAAGCTCTCAGCTAGTGTACCTGTCTGCGATGCCTGTCTGCTTCCCACCATGATGAACATGAATTAACCCTCTAAAACTGCAAGCAAGCCCCCAAGCAAATGCTTTCTTTTATAGGAGGTGCCTTGGTCAAGATGTCTCTTCACAGCAATAGAACAGTAACTAACACAAAAGATTAAATAAATACTTGATGAAGATCTCATTCTGCTAAAAAGGATTCTAAAATCTACAGAAACTAGAATACTTTTAAGGGAGGGTTAGGCATATGCATTAGTAGACTTTCTTTTATTATTTTATACATAAAGTTACTTGAATAAAAAAAAAACTTTTGTTTTTACCTCAATAAAGCCATCAAAAATAGTAGTTCTCCATGTAAGTCCAACTTTTCCAATAAGAGGTAGGTGTTCTCTGTTATTGTTTAAATTTATCACCATGAACTTTGCATATCCATTCTCAATGCACTCTGAAATGATGAAGGTCAGTTTAATTACTGCATGTCAATGTGAGGCAAAGAAGATAAGTATTGTCCACTCCCCTGCTGCTCTCCCTCAGGGTGGATGGATAGCAGGGGACACCTGGCCAACAAGACCCCACAAAAACCCTCCAGCACAGATCTTCCATAGACAAGATTCTTGCCCTTAAGAATCATAGACAAAATTGGCAATGCTCTAAATGTAACACTACTAACCAGTACCCAAGACTACTGACATCTGCGACTGTGGGGGCAAAGCCTGCGCCCTCCCTGATGAGCCCCACCCTGAGCAGAAGAAACAGCGCAGGGAAAAGTCCAGAAGCACGGAGACAAATGTGACCCAGTTACGTGATATACTAAACATGAGACCATCCAGAGGAGAAAGCAGGAAACTGAATGGCACTGTTAGCAGGCGCCAGCCTCGCCCCAAGGCCGTCTGCCACTGTACTGGCCACACTTGCCATTTGCCATGCAGCTGTGACTCTGGTGGGCCCCAAGAATTCAGTCCCTCAAAACTTTAGCATTCACCTGTATGCACGCCAGTTCCGAATCTACCATCACCTTTCCTCTTTCTAGACCTCTGCTGCACCCTGGCATTTCATTCCATGCGATGGTTTCTGCATGCTAAGATCTGTTTTGTGAAAAACAATGCTCTTTGGAAATAAAAAGCCATACGCTTCTGAGGCTCATTAACAACAACACAATAATGACACACTTTCAGCTCTGGCCAGGGTTCTTTCTGCTTCAGAAATAAACACAACACAGGGAAGGCGGAAGGTAAAGAGCATGGGGAGGACAGGTTGGTTGGCAATTGACTCTTCTAATGCACATGGAAAGAGGGAACGATGCGAAGGGACTGAGGCAGGGATCTCCGGCGTTGCCTACAGAGAGAGAGGGGCTCAGTAAAGGGAGCCGGACTCAAGATTCCACCCAAGCAAGCAGCAAACAGGGCAGCACAGAGCCATACGGAGGAACAGCAAGCACCTCCCAACAACGAACTCAGAGCTCTTTGCCAGGTGGTGTTACCCAGTACTGACCAGGCCACAGATACCACCAAGGGGCAATCAATAGCACAATGGTAGAATCATTAGGCCCTAACAATCAAATAGAACCAGTTGGCACTGCCTCTGAAGGAGAGAAAACCTTTAGTATTCCTCATCCCTTTTTATGTTCTGACATAAACATCCCCCAGGCATTTGCATGGTTTTTCTACTTTTTTTTTTTTTTTTTTTGCTCCCTAGCTAATTATTTTTAGACAACTTTGTTGTTTTTCAAATCCCCCAAAAAGAAGAAACTCAAGTACCTAACCTCAGTTAGAGACGGTGGAACATGGAGAGACAGGCTGCAGACACTGTCGGGCAGGAATGTCCTCTCCTGGTCCCTTCCGTTACAAAGGCTGAAATGACACAGGCTATACACTAGGGAGGGTAAGGACAGCAGCTTCGCTCTCCACACCTGATTGACAGAGTAACCGCGACAGTGTCAGCAAAACCTACTAAAGTCTTTTGCGTCATCAGGTGGTCTTCCCATGTGTCCTGTTAACTGGGCCTCCATAAAAAGGTGCAAACATACGCAGCAGGACCTGTTCCTGACAGAGGCAACATCGACTGCAGGTTAAAGAGAATAATACTATGTACTGAGGCTCTCAAACTCTGCACTGCTTAATCCAGCAGAGTCTGGGGCTCGCTTTTGTTGTTTTGGTTTGTTTGGTTTTTCTGTTTTGTTTTGGAGGGGTTAGAGAGATAGGGTTTCTCTGTGTAGCTTTGGAGACTGTCCTGGAACTAGCTCTGTAGACCAGGCTGGCCTTGAACTCACAAAGATTCGCTTACCTCTGCCTCCCGAGTGCTGGGATTAAAGGCCAGCACCACCAACACCCAGCTTGGGGCTTGCTTTTTAAAACTGATATGCTCACGGGTTCCAGCTGGCATTTCCCTAAGTCTCAGTTCTACTTTCCATGGCTTTGTACCAATCTCCTATCACTTCAGTCTACCTGACTATAATTTATTTTCTAGAAAACTCCTCCTTCAGATTGGAAAAAAAAAAAAAAATACAAAGATACGTTTGGAGGGTGTTCTCTGAGTCCTGTTCTGTTCTTGCTTAGGACACTCATATTCCTGACAGCAACAAATCAAGGTATCAAGGTAGTAAGAGAAGCAACACTTGGCTATCAAGCATCCTCTTCATGGGGCTTCCATTGACTCAGGGGTGAGTTCATGGCACACTAGCCCCAAGAAGATGCAGTAAGACTCTTAGAATTGGAAAAGACAGCTCAGACACGGGACCAGGGAGGAAAGCCAGGGTGGAGAGCTAACTACAAAGGAAGCCGACTGGGAGGAATCAAAATAGGACAAGAGATGGGTAGTGTTGGTGTGTGCTGTCTAGACACATCCTGTCCTACAATGGGCCTGCATCAAAGCACACTTGAGCTAGGATGAACGTCGGAACTTTTCAATGCGATGAACGGGCGTAGTAGGCTGTGGTTTTTATAGCTTTTAATAAAAATTTAATAAAAAAAACTCACTTGATACAGAATTTGGGTTTTTTCTTCTAAAATAATTTTGACATGGAAAGCAAAGATGAATTTGTAAGTAGAAGAGCTGACAGTGGAGCAGATTTGAGAAGATGAAAGAGACAAGAGACAAACGGCTGAATAAAGGCGCCAGAGCAGGCAGGAGTGGGTATATTTAGAAATTTGAAAGTTCATTTTGGAAAGAAGTGGGACAGCTTTTCCTCTGCAACAGGAAAAACACATACCGAAAAAAGCTGTGACAAGTGACGCAATGGCCAAGGACAGCAGGAGATTGGCAGGGCGGCATGGCGTAAGGGTGGGGTTGGAGGGCGGCATGGCGTAAGGGTGGGGTTGGAGGGCGGCATGGAGTAAGGGTGGGGTTGGAGGGCGGCATGGCGTAAGGGTGGGGTTGGAGGGCGGCATGGCGTAAGGATGGGGGTGCTGGCGGTGGGTATGAAAAGCTGCCACTGAAAACCTAGGGGTCTTTACGCAATTGACTGGAAGATTTCTAAGTAGCAAAAATGAGTGACAACTTGAGTGTGACAGTCCTAGGTGAGAGGCTGACTCAAGGCCACAAATGCAGGCCCATGCTGTGGAGGCAGAGCGCGAGCAGTGGTCTCCTGTCATGCCACACAGAGTGTGAGATGGGAAAGGAGTCACTGGGCTGCGAAGTCACGAGAGTGAAGCCAGGAAAGACCAAAGACCAGAAAGAGAGGAGACCCAGATGCTCAGTTAGGAGTACAGAAAGTGGGATCCCAGCACAGACGGTCAAGAAGAGGCTCCAAGCTCAGTTTCCTAAAGATCAAAGATCTTGGTGTAAAAAGTAAACACACCAAGGGAAAACTAGAAACTATCATTTACATTTTTTTGCACCTCCGTTTCCCAAATTACTTGTTTTACATAATAGATTCTATTTCTATAATTCCCTTACAAAATGTTTTACTATCTAGACCATCTAACTTAAATACATTTCCTTGACAACAATCATACTTCAAATAATTCAAATCACCAGCCAAGGGTGGATAAAAGTCTGATTGAGGTTAATCTGGAGCAGTAGCCAGAGCAGCAGAAATGGGCCTCAGAGGGTGGCCTGTCTTCAGCCTGGGCCTGGGCAGCATGAGGACTGCATGGGCACAGCCTGCCCAGTCTGGAAGGGCTGGACTTGTAATGCCCTACTGTGGGCATTTGTGATGGTTCCACAGCCCCACAAACCAGACAGCTGCTCCATAGTGAGGCTGCAACACGGGCAGCCGTCACGGGTAATGCTTACTTCTCAGGAGTCACGAGAAATACAGAACAGACTCCTAGTGAAGATAGTGCAGTCCAGTGCCTGCTGAAGTTTCTAAATAATCACCACCCAGAAAGGACAACACTGCTTCCAGTGACTCACGTGTCATGATAAATGCTTACAGAGTACAATCTGACCTAGAAACATAGCAAGCAATTAATATCAGGGAGAGAGGTAATGAAAAAGCCACCTATTTTTAGGATCACAGCCACAAAAATAAGGTAATATGATATATGCACAAGATGTAGAAAGGAAAAAACCCTTCAAAAGAATTCACTTTCAGCTGCTGTTGTCCCCCCTTGTCACAGGAATCTGTACCTTGATGACCTCTGGATTTTTTAAAGCTGTGTGCAGTGTCTTACTAAGCCCAAATGTTCAGAGTAGTCAGTATCTTAACAGGAAGCATTGTGGTGATATTTCGTTTGTGATCTCACAAATAAAGCTTGCCTGGAGATCAGAGTGCTTCTCCAGCAACTGCTGAAAACTCAGCTTCATGGGCTCAACTACTGGACTCTTGGCCTCTTCAGTGTGAAACAGGTATTGCTGGACCACCCGTGCACATCTGGAAGCCAATCTAATGACTCTATTCTAGCCACTCTGCTCCTTTAGAGAACCCTAATATGGACGGTAAAGTGAAACCCACATAAAGATATGGGTCAAAATTCAAAATCCAAATGAAGCACGTTTGAGCTGGGCGTGCACACATCACTCCACTCCGTATGACCAAGACCCTAGATTCAAGCTTAATAAAACCTTAATTCCTTCTAGATGCTCAAATCCAACAGGACTCTGATAAAATCCCGTAAGATACTTGGTACTCTAGCCAAGTGAATACATGTATAAATAATTGCATAAGTATTAAAAGCATACATAGGTAATAATAAACCACTAATTTTTATACATTTTCATAACACAATAATTAAGTCTGAACTACCTGCTCCCCTACCCAAGGCAATCACCCAGAGAGAAAATAGTAAGGGCTGAAGAGAAGTAATTAACCTACAGGAAATAAGGTGAGAGTATATCTCATTTTAGAAAGTAGGATGTTCTACATAAAACAATTTTAGAAGAAATATTTTAAGACTTCACATGTGATTGAAAACTTTTGAGATATCTATATGTACAAAATCAAAAGGCAAAAGACAAAAATGGAAGAACTATTTGTAGGAAGTATATGCATACAAGTCACAACAT